TCTTCGAGCTGCGCCACGCCGGGCCCGGTGTCGCCTGCATTGCCTGATCTGCGTGTGCACCGCCGTCCTGGCCCAGCGAGCAGGCTGCGCGCCCATCTGCCAGCCGGCCTCGGGTACGGGGCTTGAGCTGCTGCTGCTGCTCCAGCCTCCTCCACAGAGCGCTGCAGCCACCCGCCCTGCCCTCGCCTGCGTTTTAAAGCCTGCCTTAGCTCTGTTTCACCCAGAAAAAAACCAAAACATCCGATTTGTTTTGAGATGTGCAGAGAAATTCTTCCACCAGTCCATTGCAGAGGGACAGGAGAGAAGAGTGTAACAAAGCCAGACAGCAAATACCTTTCACTTCATTGTAATTTTTTGTCTTTCTTTTTTTATGGTTACATTTGGATTCCATTTTCTCTCTCCTGAAATCTTCTGAACTCTACAGGGCTTTTTTTCTCCGCTTCTTTTTTATGCCAGACCATTACATTTTTGACACCAGCTTTTTGTCTAAACACAACTTTCAGCTTCATTTCCATTGCAAAAAAACTGATCTGGGAGTACTAAACAACACAGAGGTCACTTGGAAGCAAGAAAGAAAAATAGTGGGAAGATAAACTGCTCCCTCACAGGCCTTGTGAGCGAACGGCAGCGGGGAGGGGTGTAATCGCTACCTTTTTCTTTTTCCACTGCGAGGCTATTTGTGTGTCTCCAGCTGCCTCTCAGCCCGCCTTTGCCTAGGCTGCTTTTGTCCAGCCAGCTGGGATTCTTTAACTCGCTGCTGATAGTGTTTAGAAGCTGAGTTAAGAGCCCTAAAGTAGCTCCCTACACACTCGCCTCGGTTAAAACAGCGCAGCTGCTTTCCAGGCACCGCCAAACGCTGCCGTTGAGCTGGGAGGGGAAGCGGTTTCCTTCTGAAGTGGGAGAGGAGGAGCGTGAGCCCTGATGCTTCAAAGGGAAAATGTTACTTCACCCCGAGAAGCTTAACGGCACTGTGGAAGTATTAACCAGAAACCCTGGGCCGTTTGGGGCAGTGGCAGTGTCGCTGAATAAGCATTGGCATGCTGCAGAAATTATTGTAGTTCAAAGAAGCCTGGGTGACTTGGGAGCTTCTTTAGGGCTTTTGGTGCAGCCCTTAAATAGATATGACCTTTTAAAAGCATTTTAACTGTTTATGGAGCTGGCCTGTGAATGAGAGGAGGGAATAGGTAGTTTGCAGTTGAGGAAAGGAGAAATTGCTGGGCAGGAAGGCTTTAATTAAACAAGGGGAGAGAATCTTCTTGGTCTTCCTCCATCAAAGACAATGGGTGTAACAGTTTTTGTGTTCCTTTTCAGTGGTGATGGGGCACCAGTTATTTAGCTCTGGCAGGTAGTGTGGCAGGTGTAGCATCTTCAAAATATGCTTTGGATGCTCTGGTCTTCAGCCAGGAGTTAATGTAGCATTAAGTCGTGACACAGCCTGCTTTGCGAGGTTGTTTCTGCATTCGTGCCTTCGGCTGGCCAGGAAGCATGTCAGTGGTCTAAAGAGTGGTTTAGCGCTATTAAGAGTCTGGTTTGCTGATTTTAAACCAACCAACCAACCCACCCACCCACCATGATACGTAATGAGCTCTGATGGGGTTTTATCACTGTGAGCTGCATCTGTGAAGGAAGCATGGTGCTGTTGTGGTGTTTGAGGACTCTTTGTGGAGGGTAGGGTGTGAACAGGTTGGTTTTGCTGGTCATCGTAGTGCTGAGACAGCTTTGTTAAAGCTTGATACCTTCTTGTGGCTTCTACAGAGGTGAACAAGACAATATTGCTATATATTGCGAGTAAAGAATACGTTGAAAGCATAATGTCCTTATGAGCCTGTATGATTTT